GTGCTGCGCGCTCTGTTTTTCACACTGCCACATGGATGCGTTGGGAAACATTTTGCGAAATACTAATGGTTTTCGAGGGACTGGGCGCGCATGCAGATTTCGCGTTTTTTGGATGAGAAAAAATTAACTTCTGGCGCTAGGGAAGCACCGTAAAAATTTCGCGCGTTTACGCTTCCAGGAAGCCTATTTAGACCCGGTGCTATGCTTTGAAGTACGGCCATCAACTCCCGTTGCCGTACCTTCCGAGCGAGAAGAAAAGCTTGTGTAATCATGCGTTGAACGGGAAACGAATGCAGCATGAATGGTTTGTTCACTCAACAACACACGAGTCCGTTTGGCCTTGCGAGGCATATTGTTCCCTGGCAAGTTCCGTCCCAGACATGAACTTACCAAGCAGCTCGTGCAACTAGCACAGCACCACCAATTTGCGTTTGTAATGTGATTTTTTTGGTGTCTGACGTGTTCATTCAAGGTGTGGGCAAGTTCCCTGCGTTTGGTGTTTAGCATCTGTGTTGATTCCAATTTTTTAAATTGACAAGAGTTCTTCCCCGGCTTGCATGCAAAGTTGCAAATTGTTTGTCAAGGTCGAAAGGTGCCAGCAGCAGTTATGGCTTGGAATTCACATATGCGTTGTGATAACCCATCGAGACAGTGAGCCGTTTCCATGTTATGGACAAGAGCATTTGCTGCCATGAAACATTACTATTGCAACATCCTGAGCAAAATAGTGCCGATGCACTTTCAGCCTTTGTGTATCTCTGCAAGATGCATTGCAGCAAAATCATGTGCAATTTTTGACAAGATCTGCACACAGGTGGCATATGCGAATCTTCAATGGCCTTTGCTTTGCTGTTCTAGCGCAGCGGCTGCTGGCATTGGTTCCTTCTGAACATCCGGTGAAGGGCGGCGACGTTTGCTTGGGTGGTAGCCAATATTCCAATGCCACACCATCCCTGCGGTTCTGCAACTGCCAGGGCGGGCTTGGATGCCCATCACAGGCGGGTGGTGCAAGGTGTATTCGTTTTCGGGGTTAAGCGAGTCCTCGCGCCGATTGGAACCTTGAGAAGTTGAGGTTCCCAAGTTGGTAGATTATGCAAGCAATCAATGCCCCGCAGGTGTTGTTGAAGCTTTTTGGTGTAGCCGCTGGTCCGGAACCTTGGATGCATGCGAACAGCATGGAGATCAACGTTTCAGAGGAGCTGTGGTCTTCCCGTCGCTTTCACAACCAGGAGGCTGAAACAATCAATGGTTCTGTGTTGTTGCATTCCGCTCGAAAGAAGTCGTCAATGGTTGAGTAAGAGCTTGTCTTCTCCCTGACAGGACACATCCGAGTTTTCGGAGACGAGTGGTGTGTCGTCGTATCTGCTCATCTCGGAAGGTATGGGTCTTGGAACCTTTGCGTCCGGGGTTTATGCTGCTCTCTCTGGCTATGTTGGCGAATCTGGAGCCTACCCCCTGAACCTGATGCATTTCGTGTCGAGCTCACGCGGGACAGGGTTCCAAACTTCAGAGATTTCTGAAATTCACACCTGCAACAACTACGACGAGAGACCTCCTGCTGCTGCCGGCGACGATGCTGAGGCTTCTGACGGCAGTGATGACGGTGGTGATGGGCCTGACATTGAAACCGATGTCAATACCACGACCACATCTCCCACGCTTTACCAGCCCCCAACGGAGGTGTTTTGTGGCCGGGAGCTTGCAACCAGCCCCAGCAGGGTGAAACTGAACATCTACGGATATACCTGGGGGAGCAAGTGGGCAACTGACACCAGTGGCCAGGAGTATTTCTTCTACCGCGTGCGCCTTTGCTTTAGCAGGATCCAAGACTGGTACATCAATCAAGCACGCCGTGGGGAAGGCAGGGTAGGATGGCGTCATAGCAAGGACAAGAAGTACTATGCTGGTGCAGCCCTGTGTTCCAAAGCAAGTACGGTTTCGACATTGGCAGTGTTACGTATTTTGACCACTGACAAACATCTAGCAGGGAGCACAGGAGCGGGGTTTCATTGAGTTGCATTTGCTTCCTGAAGAGTGTAGTCTGCGAGTCCCAGCGATCTAGCTCGTTTTGCTGACCCTGCAGGCATACTGGGGACAGGGCAGGAAGTGGAGGTCTTGGATTTTCAGCAGGAGCTCGCACCCGCGACGTTGCATTGCATGTCATGTGGGAGCGGCTCTCTTCACCTGTGAACTGACGCAGTGTTTGGCCGCACACATGTTCACTCCCACACAGGGCCACGTTACGCATGAACACATGAACACATCCGCATGAACAGAAAAAGCACACACCGTGCAGGTTAGACTGCTGTGGCAAACATGTGCAGCCCGTATCTCAATCTTGCTCTTTGACTGCCTTTGTCTCCGTCTCTTTTATGTCCAGAAAGGCAGAGTGTAGCCGCATCTGTGCTGCAGGAGGGTGGTGGAACCTTCGGCTATTGGTTTCCAAAGTTCTACTGGACAGGCCGATTGCAGGGTCAGGGGTGCGATGCTCGAGTTAGTTGGAGCCAGCAACGCACAATCTGACTCTGAGCCCTTGAGCAGAAGAAAGATCCTAAGTTTTCTGCCACCAGCGTTGGGGCCCTGAAGCCTAAACAACCCAGGCAACCACTTGAACTGCACCTTCGCGGATCTTCTCTGGGACCTCCCGAGACTTTGCCTAACCAGACGGGTACGTCGTGGAGAGGTCATTGTGATTCATTTTGTGTTGGAGCCGGGAGCTTTACATGTTGATGTTGGGACGAAGTTGTTGCGGCCACATCCAAGCCCAAGTCTTGTGGCAAGACTCCTCTCTTTGTATTCCGGTCATGGCTCACTTAAGCCTAAAAGGGGAGAAATGCAAGCCTTCAGGGATTTTCCTCCGAGAGCCACTCTCCCCTCCCGGTGAGCAATCAGTTGCGGGCTCTTTTTTTTGTGTACGCTTTCAGGAAATGGGCTTGCCCCATGGGCCAGTTCGGAGCTGTCCACGTCACCGCGAGCCATGCAGGCTGTTTGGACCTTGGCGATGAGTGTTTGCTTCTCTGTTGTCGTCGATGGAGAAAAGGCAACGAAGAGTGTCCGAGGCTTCAATATAGGAAATCTGGACGAAGGAACTTGAAGGAACTAAAGTTTTAGCACCAAACAGGTCTCACAGCACTCAGCTAAGTTCAATGTATGACTGCTAGTGTCGCTGCTGCAATTTAGCGATCGCATCCCCGAAACTGGACGAGCACTTGCAGTTCCAGCCGTATCATTGCCACTACTTCGAAGACAATCGGTGCCGCACCCCTGCATGGTTGTTGTTACCATTCCTTTCGCAGTAACGTTGTCAACATACCAGTGACGACATGCGACGGGTTGAAGATAATTGTCTTCTCATGGAGCAGAACATACTTCCAAGGTGGCTTTGTCACAGCACTGTCTTGGCTGCTTGTGGTAATATGCCTTTACCGCATGTCTTGGGCCAGGAGATACCTGCGACGGAGAGGGAACCGATGGCGTGGTGTTGAACATAGGCGCCTGTATGGATATTGCACCAAGGTAGATTTTTGCCAGCCGACGTGTTCATCTACGTTCCGTCCCACTACAAAGCCTCCGCAGCCAACACAGCCAGTTGCGCTAGGTGTCGTTGTACTTGTCGCCTGAACCAAGCAAGTCTCCACTCGGGGGAACAGCCGTACCCGCACCCGGCCCGAAACTGCAGCTCCTTGATGGGTTCTGTACCTTGCAGAAATGTGTGCGATCCATAAAGATTGTTAATGCAAGCCCTGAAAGCTTCAAGAGCAGGCTTTGACTTGGACCACGTCGGGACAAAGGACTGGTGATAGTTTAGTAGCCACGGCTTGAACGAAAGCCGTCCGCATGGACTTGATGATGGGCACCAGGGAAAGTCTGAGATCAGGAGATTGGCATTGACTAGCGTCGCTGGCAGCTGCATGTTATGTGGCGTAGCTGTTTTCAGACTACAGTGCCTGGGATTGTTATGCTCACATGTGAGAGCTTGACTGGAGAAAACGGATTGTTCACTTGCAATCCTGTCCTGCAGAATTTGCTGCTTAAGTTTTTGCTGGCAAGGACAGATGGTTCATGTACAGCATGGAGGCTGGAAGCATGTCTCACAAGAAAAAGCAAGTCTTGATCAGACCTCTCGCTGGCTCGATATTCTTGAGTCTGCCCCTGTGGGAGGTGAACCTGACCGGCTCCGTGACTTTCGCCGTGGTCGGCGCTTCGGCTCGCTTGAGGCCGTGTGGCGCCCGGCGGTGGCAGTTGTGGGCGGCACGTGACATCGAGAGGTAGCGGGTAGCGGGGAGATCGGCTTCTTGCGCTGAACATGGGCAAACATCTCAATTGTCATAAGGGCAGGTGGGGAAGAAGCAGAGTACGCTTCTGCCACAGTTGAAATTTCAGGAAATGCTGTCTGAGCAATCCATGAAAGAACGATTGTAAGTGCGAGCGTGCATAATGTGTCCATGTGTCGGCACAGCGCATGGGTACTATGAATGCATGTGTGTGCAAGTACCTTTGGTAAAGCCTGCTCATTCCAGCTGCTTATGCATTTGCAGAATGTGCATGTTTATGCATATGATTATTTGCATGTGTATGCACTGGTATGCCTCTATTCATAGATAACCCATACATAAGTGTCACCAGTTATTAATGTGTGTGTCTATGTATGTATGTATGTATGTATGCATGTATGTATGTATGTATGTATGTATGTAGGTATGTAGGTAGGTTGGTAGGTAGATACGTATGTATGTTGGTGGCCGTGTCTGTTGGAAGTATGTAGGCCTGCATGTATGTATGTATGTATGAGTGCAAAAGGTGCATGTATGCATATATGTATGTACTGCACATCCGTATACGTGCATATACGGAAGTTCTGCCGGCCCTGTCTGTCTGAGGCTGCTGCTTGCCCCTTTGTACCTTGTCCTCTTGTTCCGCAAGCTCTGAGACTTGTCGAGGGCAGGCCCTCCTTTGAAGCAAAGTCCACAGGTAAGATGCCTCCAGAAGGCGTGATTCTGCACAGTCTTGGCCCCGCAGTTGTAGTTCTGGCTGAATGCGTTCGAATTTGGCTTGTCATTCTTGCTGTGAACAGCCAGTCGTCACTCATAGCTCAAAGATCGAGGATGGGAAGCCTGCAATGCCGAAGCCCTACCCTAAACCCTGAATCATTTGCAGAGTTTGGGGTCGGAATCCAAACAAAACCATGATCTGAAGGAGTTTTTGGGACCTGAGGCTGTGGGCTGAACGAAGTCTAAAGACTCTGAAGATGCAAGAAGGTGAAGATGCTGATGATGGAAGGAATCATCTCCGATTTGAAAGCTGGCACCTGCAAGCTCCTCTATACTAGTTAATTGCGAATGCGACACAAAGTCCCATGATAACGCATCCGCTTCAGCTGACAGCCGGGAGAGGGTTTGGGCCCGGTCCCAAAGACGCCTCGGCCTCGCACACCCCTGACAGCAGCGTAGTAGTGCCTGCCCAAACTGAACCCCTTTTTGGACTCGGAATAGATTTTCTTTGTTCGGGCTTGTGGAAGTTGTGGCCATACTTCGCAATAGGTGTTGCGCCAACAAGTTGGTACCGTAGCATCTGCTGTCAGAGGAGCCATGGGTGTCCCGTCATGTCGACGCCACGCCCTAGCTGGCGCGTGTCACCTCAGCGAGCATGGTGCGGAACTTCTCAGAGAAGACTATATTATACACGATAATATAATGTACGCGATATACTCTGTACTAGGTGCAAGAACCCCCGGAATATGCCGAGCCCTTGCGGAGTGTCCGTGCCTCGCGCTTTCATCACAGCCAGCTCTTTGAAGAAGAGTGGTGAAAATCTGCTGCGCCCGGGCCTGATGATCTGATGCAGGACGTCTGAAGAGCAGGGAGAGATTTGTTGAGGAGAATCTTGCAGCCTTTTGGGCTTCAACGAAACCGCATGGAGGTGTAATCTGTTGATGGGTTATGCTCCTGATTGATCGCTCCTGGATAGCGGTTGGTGGAACGCCCCAGATCACTCCTCATGAGCCTTCCAATGTGAAGGATGGAGCTCAAACTCCCAGACCGTCAACCCAAAGCCCTAAACTCTAAGCCTCGAGCCGTACACTAAAAACCCTGAATGGTGAAGCCATGTTCACCGACTGGCTGGATGCGGGGCCGCTGGACTACAGCAGCCTTGCAGTGGCCTTTACTCCCTGGGCACGGGGCGCTGCATCGGACGCCCAGGCCTATCTGTGTAGGTATGCATGCTGTAGGTATATAGACATATGTCTGTATATATATATATATGTATATATATATATGTACATGTACTATAGTGTATAGAAATCAAATAACTAAATAAAGAAATATACAGAAGTAAATAAATATAAATACATATATATACACACATATATAAGATAATATGATATGATATGGTATGATATAATATATTTTATTATATTGTATTATATTATATTGTTGTAATTATATATATGCATATATATATATAATATAAAATAAAATATGATGTAATATAATAGAATATAGTATAATATTATATTCTATTAATATTACATTACATAATACATATTATATGATGTTCATTATTTAATATGTAATATATATTATATATTATATTTTCTTTATTATATATTCTATTATATAATATATATATATATATATTATAGACTATATACTATATATTATATATTATATTGTATATATTATATGTTATATATTATATATTATATATTATATACTATATACTATATATTGTACAATATGTATATAGAGACATCACATATATTTATATATGCAGATATATACATACATATACATATATAGGCATTCATAGATATAGATGCACATGGTTCTCCTTCGCAAATGCTTCATTTTGGGATGTATATTGCCCTGTTCGTACATGTGTTATTACTATGTTGCCTACTGGAACATTTCTGATCAACATGTTTAAAGCATATTGAAACAAGTAGCTGTTCATGTCTCTTTCATGCACGTGTATGCATACGAACATGTGTATACATATACACATACATATACAGATTATACAAGCAAGCATACACACATGGCACGGCTCAGTGTGATTTAGCTGTGCCGCTTGTTGCACCGCGGCTTCGCTCTCCTTTTTTGTAGTGAGCCTCGCGGGTACATGTTGAACACATTTAGTGTGAATCATAGAACACGTTTTGCAGTTGAAGAACAGCTTCCCAACACAGACGCGTGCAGACACGAAGAAAGGGTTTGTGCAGGCTTCCGATGATCGAAGCCCAACATCGGACAGCGACACAGACGGGTCGCCTGCACCCGAGGCACTTTGGGCCTTTGGGTTGGGGAAGGCTTCTTTCTAGACACCGAAGCACGTGATGGAAGAAGGGATGTCCCCAACTAGTAGTCTAGGCCTTCGGCCTTCAACGATCCGGTTGCTCTTGCGACTTTCAGATCTCACGCAAGACCCCCTCCCTAGGAGGCCGCCAAGAAGGCGGCTGCCCGGGCAGCGCCCGTGGAGGAGCCCGGGCAGGAGCCGCTGTGCGTTCCTGAAGCCCAAGTGTGGAGAGTAGGACCCTCTCGCGTTGTTTCCGGTAGTCCCCGCTGCCATGCAGGAGGTGCGCCAACGTCGCCGCCTTCTGCCCGAGTGGCTGAAGCGAACTACCCAGTCAGAGGGTGAGGAGGCCAGTTTGATTTCAGGCGTTGTAGGTTTCTGTAGGCAACGCCAGAAGTTTGTACGTGCTGAGAAACGGTGCGTGAAAGGAAAGGGCTATGTCTGACCAATGCGTGCCTGTATCCCGACTGCTGAAGGTAGCAGCCAACCCTGAGACTTGCACAGTCTCCACCGACGGTTCTGAGGCATCTGAGACGGGCCGGGGATTGAGGAAGTTGGCTCTCGTGCTTCATTCATCAAGTTCAGCATCTATCCCGTCCTCTTTTCAAGACATCCTCTCTCTCTCCCCTCGCTCTGTCTGTCGCTCTCTCTCTCTCTCTGTCT